GGGGGGGGGGGGGGCTAAACGATATTAGGCAGGGATACCAGTTTTTTTTAGCTCTTCAGTGTGTGTGTATATATAGATATATATGAAAAGTGATTACTCAAATTCGAAATTCCCGCATCGTAATATCGTATTAAAAAGTGCTTATTTTTTCTTTTAAAAATCACACAGAATTTCGGAGCAATAATCATTGAAAAGGCGATCGAGAAATGAAATAGACTTACAATGGAGTCTGTGCAGATTGAACGAATTAAAAAATGAAGACTCAAATTTGCAATTTAAAATTTTTTATTTTTTAAGAAAAAAAAAAGTTCAGTGTGTTCAGAAACTATCTTGTGGGGTGCAGATTTTCCACCCAATTTATGCTTAAAAAAGAAAAAAAAAAACATCGCTAGGAGTACAGAAAAGTCTCCCAATAGGCTCCTTTTCTTGAAAATAGTTGCTTTTTTAGCCTTTTCAGGCAAAAAAAGTTGCCATAGTCACCTCATGCCGCAAATAGTTGCATTTTAGTTGCCTGTGGCAACCTTGAAATTATTAACTCTACGGAATGATCATGAAAGTTAGAATATAATACATATCCAATTTATGCAAAAATGAATTATCAAAGCAGTTAGAAAACTAATTCAGAGTAGATATAAATATATTTATCTCTACCATTTCACTATCTCACATTTATTTCACAATTACTGACAGAATTTAACTTCAAACATATTTGCCAATAACCTACTTTCAACTATTATTGACGAAAATATAAAAAAAAATCCATATTGAATACAATGAAAGCTTAGTCAAAGAGTTGAATACTAAAAGTTGCTGATAGGGAAAAACTTGGGCTTGAAATATAAAATAATCATTAGAACATCAGAATGTTGTTGATTTTGAGTCACATTTATAAGTGATAAATGCTGATTTTATGAGTAATAAAAATAAGCTTAATTTAATGTTTCAGTTGATAAAGATGCATTTGTTTCTTACACATATTATGCTTGCAGCTCCATTTTGAAACTAAAATAAATACATACTGTTAACATAAACTTACATCAACTATTAATCAAGCATTTATATATACTTTAATCAACTCAGTTATCATAAATTATATAGTTTGAACAACAAGAGCAGTAGGGACATAAAAAATGAAGCGAAATTATATTGCCTCATACAAAATATTTAACTAATATTTTTTTTAAGTAAAATATACTCACCAATGGTAACATCACCTTGTAATTCACATTCTTTACAGACTATTGCACCAGGGGCTATAGTAACTCTAATAAAAAACAAATAAATTAGATTATAAGTGCATAATATTTCTCAAATATTTCCAACGTGTTTAAAAATATATAATTGGACCAATTTTGTGATGTTAATATGGTGAAGTGAATATTATTCATGATTTTTGCATACCTACAATAGCGTGCAAAAGTTTTTGGTCATCACGTGAAAGGCATTTTAACCTTTCTACGAATTTTTTTTTTAGAGATGATTTCCGTTTTATTTAGTCAAGCCAACAAATATATATTTACACTTGATTTCAGAATTTTTACTTTTCTAGCAATTTAATGGAAAATGTAATCTTCATTGGATTAAATTTAAATTTTTACACCCAGTTCAGTTGAATATTTCATTTTTTTTATATAATTCAAGTCTTGTAAGCACTAATTCTTCAAAAATAAATGTCAATAATAAATTAAAGTTAAAATCATGATTTCCGTAAATAAATACGAAAAACGTATGTGTATTTGTTAAAATTGTATAGTTCAATTATATTATCATGCAATTCTTAGCTTTAAAATAATCGCTTCACGAAAAACAAATACCCAACTGATATGAAAATTGCATTTGATTTAAAGTGACTTTCAAAGCACTAACTTTGCTTTCTGGTTGATAAGCATATTAAGAATGTTTAGGAATAAAATTATACATTATTTATTACATTTCCAATCAACCATNAAAGAAATATTTGTTTGATGCTTGACAATTGTAGTGCTCATAATGATATTCACGGACTAAAAGCGATTAAATGTGTTTTTTTACCTCCTAACACCACAGCAAAACTTCAGCCGTGCGATCAAGGTATCATTCATAGCTTGAAGGTGCAATACAGAAAAGAAATGGTACGCAAGATGATCCATTGCTTTGATAATAAAATTACATTTTCTGTAAATCTATTAGACGCAATGAGATACTTAAAATGTGCTTGGAACAATGTTTCTTCTGAAACAATTATAAACAGTTTCAAGTGCGGTGGGTTCACAGATGGAAAAGAAATGAATCTTCAAGAAATAAGTGAAGCAGAACCAGAAACGTTGACTAATTTGATCGAAGAAGCGGAAAAACGCGGGATTCTATCAGCCCCTTTGTTCAAAGACTACACCACTATAGACGAAGATTTGCTAACATCGGATATAACCACCGATCAAGACATAATCGCTGAACTATCGGCGAAAAATGATGATGTCGACATGGATACAACTGATGAAGAGTCCGATATTGAACAAGAAAATCCAGTTACTTTAAATGAGGCGACATGTGCAATGAAAGTAATTAATCGTTTCCTCATGCAACAAGAAAATGCTATGGATGCATTAGATAACTTAGAACATATAAATGACTTTATTAATAAGTGTTATCTTAAGAAATTAAAACAGAAGTCAATAACTGACTTTTTTCAACCTTGATTCCGTAACGGATAAATAAATTCGTAATTTGGCGTTCAATTCACTTCATTATTTCTTCTCCAAATTTCAAGTTATTTTTAAATGTTCATTGTTTTTAGTATTTTTAATTTTATGTTAAATTCACTTAAATTTGCAATATGTCTTCATTAGTAACTTTTAAGAACTGTAATATATAAGTAATTGTTTAGTAGTTCAATAATTGTTGACTAGATGCCGCCACTACCTAAACGGTTAACACGAAATTCGGTTAACACGAAAAATTTCGGTGGTCCCGACGATTTCGTGTTAACGGGGTTTGACTGTATATATTTACACTTGATTTCAGATTTTTTACTTTTCTTGCAATTTAATGGAAAATGTAATCTTCATTGGATTAAATTTAAATTTTTACACTCAGTTCAGTTGAATATTTCGTTTTTTTATATAATTCAAGTCTTGTAAGCACTAATTCTTCAAAAATAAATGTCAATAATAAATTAAAGTTAAAATCATGATTTCCGTAAATAAATATGAAAAACTTATGCGTATTTGTTAAAATTGTATAGTTCAATTATATTATCATCCAATTCTTAGCTTTAAAATAATCGCTTCACGAAAAACAAATACCCAACTGATATGAAAATTGCATTTGATTTAAAGGGACTTTCAAAGCGCTAACTTTGCTTTCTGGTTGATAAGCATATTAAGAATGTTTAGGAATAAAATTATACATTATTTATTACATTTCCAATCAACCATTTATAATATTGAGTTTAACCAAAGACGCTAGTGTAGTACATAGAACCATTCTTGCACAATTTGAATTATCAGAGAGACAGAAATAAAAAACTTGAATTTTATTGAGTTTATACAGAGAAAAATATTATGATTATATGAGTAGTTCAAAAATGTTAATTTTTTTTTAAAACCTCTTATGTTTTAAGTATTATATACTTTTAATTCAGAGAAACACAACTTTTTGCTGCACAAACTCGAAGAATGTAGAGATGTACAACTACAAAAAGTCTAATTGTTTTGCAGGAAAGTTTTGAAGTCTCACAAAAAAAATTTATTCCGTTTTTGAGTAAACTAATTTAAAAAAATTAAAGTACATCAATATGATGACAAACATAACATAAATGAAGAACTCTTTCTTTATTTAATAAATACTTTATATAACCTGGTTGCTAACTAATCATGAAAAACTTTCTGCGGACACAAAATCTCAATTAGAAAACTTTCTGCAAGTAACCGACAGACTCTTGTGACTAATTTTACCATTTTTATCTCTACCTCATTTTAGCAAAATTTGCTTGAAAATCAGAGATTTTTTTTATTTTAAATGATTTAATTTTTATGAAAAACCTATTACATTTATAACACAGGGAAGAGTTTGGTAAAAAAAAAAGAAAAAAAAAAGAACTCAAATCTGAAACTAGTAATCTAAAAATGTTACGAGCAAAAACATTTTTTACTCATGTAAGAGGAACTAACTCATGTAAGAATGAATTAACATTTCAGAATAATTCATCAATTTAAAATATGCCAAATTAATTCTTTTTCAAAACAATTTCAAAAATGGGTGTAAATTAAGTTCTCCAGCAAAGCTACCCTTCTAAAAGTAGTGACAACATCTCGAAAGTAGTTAGTATATTTGTAATAAAGTAGTTGTAGTGAACTACAAGTGATATTAATTAAGTTTTAGTGATTTACTGTTTATTATTAATATATTTGAATTTAAAAGCTTTTCTTATTATTACAACCATAACGATACGCATATTCGATTATATAACAGAGATAATGAGAAAAAAAAGCTCAACTGAGATCATAGTCAATAATACGAAACTATTATTCTAGAAGCAATGCATAATTACTCTCACGGGGGTTTGGCAAAATTTCAGCTACCCTATTAGTTAAATATAAAGAATAATTACTTAGATTTCGAAGTCATGAAGTTACAATGAATTTCTCAAGATTTAAGTGAAAAATATCAGGTATTTCTCGTCTTTTAATCTAAATAAATCAACAAGAAGCTGACAGACAACAACAAAACAACAAATTTGTCATCGAAATGCTATATCACTTCATTGAGCTTTGTAAATACTTTGAACTTTAAAGACTTAAAAAGTGCAAAATATACGGAATCAACACTTTATACAATTTACTTAAAAGAACAAGAAACTGAAAAAACGATTTGATCAGTTTTTTAAGAGCGATAAAAAATCGCTATATAACTGAGAGAAGATGTTGTGCTGTTTAATGGCTGCATTAAATAAAAATATCTTTATTAACTATTAATAAATAACTATTATAAATAAGTGAATAAATAGATAAATGCACAAAATGAACTCTTATTTTTTCAAAATGAGAAACATTCGAATATTTTCACAAATTTCAATTAAATGTAAATAAAATCAAATCGATAAATATAACTACACTTATTCTTTTTAATCATATAGTAATAATAGTTCATTGAAATATGCCTATAAGAATTTTAATTTTCAAAGAAAATGAAATATTATTTCTCCCCTCCCCTACTCGGGACAAAATATCGAGCGTTGACTTTAACGCCATCTATCGGACGTAAAATAATTCAACGGAAAAGATGGAGTTGATATTGCAAAACTGAGCAACTATCAGTAAGGTATTCACAAGCGAATGAAACGGAGCATGGATTAGGTTTCGGGAAAATGTTAGTCGTGAATACGCGCCGCATGTATCTTAACATAAATAAAACATGCGAATAACCATTTCCCGTTCATGTAATATATGGTTGTTATAGATTTAAATTTTTTTTTCTAAAGGAAGTATAAATTTTAAATGGTCATTGAAAAGTATTAGAACATTTTCAAAAAATGTAGAATAGAAAATGAGTGAGTATTTTCATTACAGAATATAATCGTGTGAAATAATAATTACAAAAAAGTCCATGAAAGACCAAACAAACATACAGTTTCAGCGTAATTTCTGTCTTTCTTTTTTGGAAATTTTTAATCAAAATATGAAACAAAAACTTTAAAATTCGCTTGCAATATTTTTCTATTCCAGATTCTCTTTGTAGTATCAAATGCAAATTGAAATAAAAATATTTTATAGAAACTTTATATTTTCCCCTAACTTTAGAAAACTTAAGTTCTCAATTAGTTAAAATTACACTTTAAATTCTCAATTAGAATAAAAAATTTTGTTCTCATTTAGAACTAAAGTTCGAATTATTTCCTTATAAATACTTACATACTATTAAGAAAAATGACTTAATTGTTGATGATAATAATCATAATGATGATAATAATTTTAATAATCATAAATTACTTAAACATTTTCATAATTTTCAATGGTAATAAAAATTATTTGTTTTATTATATTACAGGTGTTGTGCTGCAAAAATTGGTCACTTCAAATGTTCTACTAATTAAAATAATCTTATCGTTAGAGAGTATGTAAGTAAAAAATAAATGATGACTAATATGACAGCTTTATGGAGAAGAGTTGTCATTCTTCTGGTTGTTGTTATCGCAATTCTTCAGGTAAGTGATTTCACAAAAGTTTTTTTTTCTGCTCTCACATTTAGATTATAAGTGTTAACTTCAACTATTTTAAGTACTTAACATAAATCGTACAAGACTCAATAAGTATGAGTTTTAAAAACTCTCACAGGACAATCTAAGTTGAGAGAAGAAAACAAAAAATGTTTTCTTTCGCGGATGATGATTTCTCGCCAAAAATGATTTCTTTCGATTCATAAACTATAACTATCAAATTAATAAATTAATTGAAAATGTATTGTTTTTCAAGATTTATATAGTAAATGATCTTAACATGCATTTAACCGCAATTATTTTTATGATCAAACATTATTAATAAAGAATTGCTGATTTATAGTCAGTATCAAATATTATTTAATGGAGTTAGCTAAATGCCTCAATAGAACTTATGTATTTATTATTGAGCTTATGCAATTTATTAGATGCAGATTTTAAGAGATAAGTACATCAGAAATTGATTAGAATTACTGTTTTCAGATCTCCATAGTCTATTTTAATTCATATTATTAAAAATATTACATTTATAATATTCATAATATGAATATTATTAATGTATTTATTATTATATTATTCATAATATGATCACATTTATAACATCATAAAATGATTATCTATAATATTCATTAAATGAATATTATAAATTGCATATTCTTGAAAAAATATTGCATATTCTTTTGGAATATAATGATTAACAATTCTTGCTAGTAGTTTTATCTTTGAATTCGCGGAGTAAATCAGTCTCTTCCTATTTTTTTCTGTCTCTCGACTTAACTCTTAAAGTTGAGCGAGATAAACAACATTACACATATTCGGGTAAAATGAAATTCATTGATAGTAAAAATTACTTATTTTGATATTTTTTTATTTAAATTATCATTACATCCATTCATTTTTCGATAAAAAATATTTATAAACAAGTCAAATTTAAGCAAATATTAAAAATATTTTTGTATTAAGAAATGCAGCTTGACAAAATAAACTGTTAAACTTAGAAACAAAATTTCAGTAAAAACTATTTTCTTAAAAATTAGTCCCAGCTTATCCGCGAATTTCAACATCTCAGAAGAAAAAGAAGAAAATTTCTTCGAGCGAGTATTTTTGCTCTTGCATTCGAAGAATTAATCAGCTTTTATGTAGTTATTAGTCGTTTTTCTGCTTAGTTCTTGATACGCAAGTTGAGTAGGATAAACAACTTTACCCCTCTCGTTTATCAACGGGTTTTTAGTAAACTGCTAGATTGGTACCATTCACTTGTGAAAAAAGAAAAATGAATATTTTATGCATATGAAAATATTTATGTGTTATATTTTTTTCATTAACGATTATTTTCTCGTTTATTAAATCAGGAATTAATAATATTTAAATACATATAATTCAAGGAATGGTTATAAATATCCTCGAATATTTTCTTAAAAAAATAATTAGATAATTTTAGAATTTATAGCAAAATTTTTCTCCCCCCCCTTCCAAAATGTTTCAAACATTATTTTCACTCAGGCATTTACACAATAAATTAACTTCTTCCTATTTTTTATTTTATTTATTTATTTATTTATTATTATTTTTTTTAATAATTGATGGACAGACATTATCAGATAGAGGGTAACAACATTATCCTCCCTGCTTTTCAGTGACTTTTATCAATGCTGCTTTATTGGTATCATACACGCGTGTAAAAAAGGAAAATTATCACTGACAAAATTTATATCCAAATTCTACCAAAACAAGATGATTTCCTTTTATTTTCTTTTATCTGTTATTATTTTATTTATTATGTCAAAAGTATTATTTAAATATAGTTAGTTTGAAAAATGCATCGCAATGCTAAAAAGAATTTTTTTTTTTGGAAAATAGTCAGGAAGTTTTGTAAATATTTTTTATATTCTTATGAAAGGGTATTTAAAAATACATATTTAATTGATAAATCAGTTCTACGTTTCTCTTTTCAAAGAGCCGCTATAAAACAAAGCTGATTGCAAATAGCCTAAACAAATTCAGGATAACTGAGTAAAATTTCGCACATTTTAACGAGTCTAAAGGTACATGGAATGATTGTAAAAGATTGAAAATTATTAGGCTAAATAGAAAATACTACAGAGACGTTGTCGATCTGCCTGGTGCATAGTAAAATGAGGTTGACGTTACTAAGAACCGGATTTTCAATTAGTCAAACACATATAGCAGTGTTTCATTACTTGACTTCGTTTTCATTAGGCAACTGAACTGGCATATGAATTAATTTAATTATGGTATGAAAAAACGAAATTACACTACGAAGAAATTCAACTATCGTTGGGAATTTTTATGCTATGGATAATTTTTACTAAGCATTTATTTTTTGAAGAAAAAATAAATAAATAAAATATACAAATTACGTTACTTTAAAGAATTTTTTAGAAAAATCCCAAAGTATTTTTCTAAAAAAATTGGTAACCTTAACTATAAAATATCGCACTTAAATATACAAATATTTATCAATGGAAACGCATAAAAAAGTATTGATCAATAACAAGCTTGCCAGTTTCGAATAAGGCATTCTTAAAAATAGCATCATACATTTATGAATATTGTAATATGACGGTTTTCCACAAAAATTTTCTAAAAGTGTTTTCACGAAACTTATTATAACTTACATTGTAATATTAAAAATCAGAATAGGATATCAATTACATAATATAAATGTTAATGTGTACAATTTCAAAACTGCCATTCGGTATTTTTTTCACCAACATGATACAGCATGCGGTTGAAAGAAAGAAAATAAATTAAATAAAGATTTTAAAAACTATGTTTTTTAAGTAGACTAGAGAGAAATTTTAATTTTTATTTTTGTCAGATCTAAAATGAAAAACAAAGTGACATCACTTGCGANCTGACGTTCTTCTTTTCAAAGCGCCGCTGTAAAATAAAGCTCATTGCAAATAGCCTAAACGAGTTCACGATAACTGAGTAAAATTTCGCACATTTTACCGAGTCTAAAGGTATAATGGAGTGATTGTAAAAGATTGAAAATTATTAGGCTAAATAAAAAATACTAAGGAGACGTTGTCGATCAGCCTAGTGCATAGTAAAATGAGGTTGACGTTACTAAGAACCGGGTTTTCAATTAGACAATACAGCATTATCTCATTACTTGACTTCGTTTTCATTAGGCTACTGAACCGGCATATGAACTAATTTAATTATGGTATGAAAAAACGAAATTACACTACGGAGTAATTAAACTATCGTTGGGAATTTTTATGCAATGGATAATTTTTTACTAAGCATTTATTTCTTGAAGAAAAGAAAATATGCAAATTACGTTTATTTAAAGAATTTTTTAGAAAAATCCCAAACTTATTTTTTAAAGGAAAATTGTTTAACTTTAAATATCGCACTGAAATACACAAATGTTTATCAATGAAAACGTATCAATAAGTACTGATCAATGACAAGCATGTCAATTTCGAATAAAACATTCTTAAAAATAGCATTATACATTTATAAATATTGTAATATGACCGTTTTCCACAAAATTTTTCTAAAAGTGTTTTCATGAAACTTATTATATATAACTTACATTATAATATTGAAAATCAGAATAGAATATCAATATCATAATATAAATGTTAATGTGTGCAATTTCAAAGCTGTCATTCGGTATTTTTTTCACCAACATAATACAGCATGCAGTTGAAAGAAAGAAAATAAATTAAATAAAGATTTTAAAAACTATGTTTTTTAAGTAGACTAGAGAGAAATTTTAATTTTTATTTTTGTCAGATCTAAAATGAAAAACGAAGTGGCATCACTTGCGAAATGTTAGAAAATTTGATGATAAGTTCGATTTGGCCATGATATGCCCATCTAAATTCTGTTGAAGTTAGAAAACGATTGAAGAACAGAATCGAACTCCAGAACAGAATAGAGAACCTCTAGTTATTAAAAAAATAATCAGAATTTAGCTTCAACATAATTTACCTGTGACGATAACATTTCTATAAATACTAATTGTTGCGGTTAGGAAACAATAGAAACCTATAAGAATCCTTTAAATTCGTTTGCATTATCTTTTTAATTATTTTTGCAACTAAATTTTTTTGTAAAAAGTCCTGTTTTTGTAAAAGTTTGAAGAATCTAATCGTAATCTTGGCAATTTGTGTAAAAGTGTCATGAATTTGTAAATATGAAAAAGACCACAAAAATCAGTGAATTAACCAAATTTAAAGGTCCTGGTTTCGTAAAAAAAATCTACTCATAATTTTCTAAATAAATCTTCTATCTTCTTTTCAAATTATCTTTATAAACCATCTTCTTTTTTAAATCTGAAGTACAGAATTAGAAAATTATTACCAAAATTCGAACCAGTTCCTTTCTATCAAGGCCGAATTTTGATAAATATGAAAAAAGGGTCTAGTTTTTGTGAAAAAAAATTTAACTAAAAACATGCTTTTCAAGAAGTTTTAGTTTCAAAATTATGAATTGAAAACGCCAAAGACTCCAATTATAAAAGAAGTTTCCAATTTTAAATTAAAAATTATTATGTGGTGTCCTTTTTTCACGATAAAGTATTTAGTGAAGGGTTTAATTTTAATATAAAAGAATTTATGAAGGGTCTGTAATCAGATCCAAAATTTTCCTTAAAATGATCCCAGAAATAAAATGGATTTCAGAATTTATGAGCCAAATTAATAAAATATATCGTTTAATACTTTAAAATTGTATAGTATCATGTGCATTATAATGCGAACTTCTTACTAACATAAATTGTACTATTTGCAGGAAAAACTTAAATGCATTTTTCTTCATTCCGTTGTAAGAATTATTATAATCATAAATATTTCATTATATTTTTCACATACTCAAAAATAATTTTCATAATAGCAAGAATTTTTTTCTTCTGTTAATCCAGCGGTTCCCTAATGGTGTTCCGCGGAACCAGAAGGTTCCATGGAAGGGTCACAGGGGTTCCGAGAGTTAAGGTATTTTTAATCAATTAA